TACATACGGTACCTGTATACATGACGTAACTAATACAATACGTCCTGTATACCAAGAGTGTATATAGAAGATTACTCTGTTGATGACTCTTGTTATGTTACTCTTTGTGGTATAGTAACTGTGCCAATCGTACCTGTATACATGACATTAACTTGTGCCAAATCGCTAACTAACTACGCGGACGTACTGTGCAATACGTACCTGTATACATGAGCGTAACTATACAATACGTACTGTGCACGTCATGTAACAGTACTATACGTACACCTGATACGTGACCGTAAACTGTGAATATGCGTACCTGCTATCATGGCGAACTGACAATACGTACCTGTATCATGACTAAAGCTTATACAATCGTACCTGTGCACGTCATGTAACAGTACAACTACGCTTACGTACCTGTATACATCACGTACCTGTACAATACGTACTAACCTGTGCACATCACGTAACAATACAATACGTACGTACCTGTTTACATCACGTAACTGTTCAATACGTACCTGTATCGCGTCACTCTGCATTACGCACCTGCACAAATTGACGGCGAACTCATACCTGCAATCGTTGTGCACATTGCTTACCTTCGCTGAAGAACCTGTATCCGTTTGCACAGTCATGTCAATAAGCGAGACGAGGGACGACCGTCACCCGACGCACGCACAAGCATCGCCCGTAAGCCGAAAATATCTCCGCTAATCGCAGTCAGAGATGAAAGTTTGCTTTCGCTTACGGCTGTGTGCGTCAGCTGTGCAGCCGAACCGCGAGACAGCGATATGTGCACGCGCGTCGTCTATCTCTGCAGACACGAAGCCGACACGAACAACCCCGAAGGAGAACTCTCTCTATGAAATGCGGCCCGTGGGTTGTGAGAACATCGGTTCTGAGTCGACGCGCGCGAGTTAATGAGAGCGAAAGGCCACGCCTACCCCTTCAGCGCGTGATTCGCGGGCAAATGCACGCGGCGTGTGCCGGCGAGCCAACGCGGATAGCGGTAGTCTTCCTATACGTCAACGCGTTTTCTCGGAACGCGTTTTAGGCGAGAAACGGGTTTGAATCACCCCGATGTCGCCCCCCCCCCCTCCGCCACCGCCGCGACAAATAAATGACCACAGACGGACAGGCGATCATTCAACGTCACGCAAAATCGACCGTCTCCCGACGGACCGACACGACGCAAATGCGAAGTAGTTTTTTTTCTCTGCGAATATAACGCGTTATAACGCACAAATAGACGCCTCCCGCGTGCCGTGATCAGCGACGAATTCCGAACGAGCGCGATGTCCTGTTACGTGATCCGCGACACTGTCACAACATCTCCGGATCACACTGTGAAAGCTGTCACCGCTGAGCACGCCCGTCGATACCGACGCCCGCTGAGTGACAGCCTCAAGCCTGGGATGACACGGGGGAGCTGAGCGTAGCGGCGCGTTTCCAGTGTTCTCCTCGCGTTGCATGATTAACATTTAATGCGAGCTCGTAGCACGGCTCCCTTCCATTCTCGTAGATATATCTGCCGCGAATGACGTGGTTTTAGAATCACGTTCGATCACAATCTCAATCGATTAATTATTCGTCACTCGCACGCACGCACGCAACGCACCGCACGCCACGCACGCACGCACGCACGCATGCACGCACGTACGCGGCCACCAAACACAATATGCTCATATCGTGCACGTATAATTTATATATTAACTATATATATGTATATAATACTATATATATAGTAATAGTTAGGATTGCGATATTCACTGTTGTCAGATATAAGATACGAAACTCGCGCTATAACTCACGGCGAAGACCAGACGCAGGAATCCGGAACGCTTCCTCGCGATTGCTGGAGCGACGAAGTTGCGAAATCAACCTGTTTGATTCTTGTGCCAACTCGTTGCTACGAGTTTGCAGTTGGCCTTCCCGCGCTAGAATCGCAGCCGATTTGCCATGAGAAAGTCAGTTCTGCGCTAGGCTTAAGGCTAGGCTTAAGGTTAAGGTACACGAACGTAACACCGGTGCATTTATATCGGCCAGCGCGCTGCGACCCGATCTAGGTCCAGGACAGCAGTAAGATTATGGAGGACGGGGCACCTAAATTATTAAAGCGAGGGACTGAGATAGATCCAGAAAGGTCCAAAGTTCGATGACAGATTAGCCAGAAGAAATTCCTCAATTTTACGATCATAGAGGAGCCTGGAGCTGGTGTATAGCGCATTATCACATAGCCGTTGTTTTTAATCTAACTCCCAGTAATTTCGACAATCATTATCTCGTTTCGATAACATACCAGGGATTGCTGCGATTCATACGAACTATATGTGCATACATCGTCGCACATTGTGTGCGTCGAAATGTTATACAATTGTACATGCTTTATCGAAAGAAAACCGAGTACGCGTTTAGTATTAACCACTAGATGCCCTGGACGTCTGTTTCCGTCCGTGCGTTTCTATTCGTCTACTATTACAGGTGTGACTATATTGTTTTGTATATTTCGCATTATGTGATATTTTTTAATCACTTAGCTAATTTTATTTATCATCGTCACACACGGACTAACGTCATTTCGCGTGAGAGCAGTCCCTCGCTCTGCCGTTTTGGGAGTCGCGGCCCGTTTGGACTCTACTTGATAAAGCTTTATTTCGTGCATTTGAATGGAAACCATGCAGAGATTGGAGAAACCTGCGCGCGCACCTGCTTTCCGCAAGCGAGAGAGAGAGAGGTAGGGTGTGAGCAAGAAACTGACAGGGAGAGAAGCAGGGAAGGAGATTAAAGTACGGACACAGAGTGCGTGAAGAAGAGAAGGCCCTGCTTCGCCAGCTAGAGAGAGAAGCCGCCGAGGGAGAAGGGAGAGGAGGAAGCGAGACGGACTGCAAGTGTAATAATTCAGATAGCGAAAGAAAACGGACGGAGATTGAGTATCTCAGACGACCATAGCCCCGAAATATGACAGGAACCTCACAAGCCACAATTGGTCGTATTGCATATCCTGATCTTCTTGCAGCTACGGCCGCTACCTTTCGCTCAAAATGAAAGGAGAGAGTCGACTGGCCGCGGCGCTTTCTGCCTCTTTTAGGATACACACACAGGCATACGTACTCGTGCTCTGCGCATGCGTCTCTCATCTCGTGCTCTCTTCTCTCCTCTCTGCGTCAGTGCATCTCGTCTCTCTCTCGTCTCCATACTCTTTTCTTACTCTCTGAGAGAGGAGGGAGAGGACAACCAGTTGTTCTCATTTCCCTTCTCTCTTTCTTCCACTCTCTCGCACCCTCTTCCCACCCTCTCTTTCTCTCTTCTATCGCTTCATTCTTTCTTTCTCCCTTTCTCCCTCCCCGCTTCTTCTTTCTTTCTTTCTTGTTTTTTCCCTCTCTCCCTCTCCTTCTCTCAACTCCCCTTCTGCACTCTCCTCTCTCTCTGCGATCGTAACCTTGCCAAGCACCGTGCTGTGGTGGTCAGCCCACTTCGTTGTCGGTGATCGCATCTCCGTTGGGGAAGCATCCGTCGGACGACGGCCTCACTGCTAGTCCACCTCGCTCCGCCAGGGCCACGATTGCCGCCGATGACCAGCCACTGGCCGCCTCGCCACACGCGACGCAGCGAAGGGCGCGCCACGCAGAGCGCGCAGCGCAGCGGGCCGTTGTTTGTACAGCCTGCTTCCATTACGTGGAAAGCAATGCGAGAGCAGCCCAGCGGCACAAGCGCGTGCAGGGGTGACCGGCGTATCGTCCGCGCCGCTGCTTTCCTACTAAACGAATTGTTACGACTTGCAGCCGCCAGCATCGAGTGTGTAAGTCTATTTTGTAATAGCTGGAGAGGAAGTGCGCTCGCCGATGCGGATGTGATCGCGTGCAAAAACAGCTCGCTAAACTACTTGCCGTCCCTACGCAGTACGGCTGATGATCGATTACCATCGGCAAGCCGCTGATTTAATGCTTTTTATTACGCACGCGTGCGGTGATCTGGCAGCGTGCGGCGGCAACACAAAGACTGTCGCGACGCACCCGAGAGGAGCTACACAGCGCGACGTCACAGCTTCGGCGTGTCATAAATGCGACCGACTGCGTGCTCACGACGGCACGTGTGACTTGGAGACGGACATGTTCTGTTCGCTGCTCCCAAATCGAGTACTCGCGCATGCGCACTCCGCGTAATGAGCCGCATATGTCTCTTCGCGCGTCTCTCTACGGCGTTGTTACGTGTGACGAGAGATTCATCGCGCCGCTAGCAGAGACATAGAATAGATAGATAGATAGTAATAATAGAAGTAAGATAGATAGATAGATAGATAACAATACAATAGATAGATAATATGATAGATGTAGATAATAGAAATAGATAAATAGATACATAGATTGATAGTAGATAGATATAGATAGATAGATAGATAGATAGATAGCATAGATAGATAGATAGATAGATAGATATATAAATAAATAGCCATAGTATAAATAGCATAGCCATAGATAGATAGATAGATAGATAGATAGATAGATAGATAGATAGATAGATAGATAGATAGATAGATAGATAAATAGATAGATAGATAAAGAAAGAGAGATATGGGGAGAAAGGAAGTTGATAAAAAGGGAAGATATATTAGCAAAGTGATTACGTTCTTTTTTAAATCAGTGCTCAGATAGATAGATAGATAGATCCATAGATAGATGTAAATCTATGGCTCTGACCGCTAGCAGCGTTCGCAATGCCATTTGCAGTCACTCACTCACTCACTCGGGCGGCCTTAGCCGAGCCTCATCATTTGCAGTGATAACCGAAAATATATATCCGGTCGAAAATGGCAAGCCCTATGCCGATGGCATGGACTGGGTCGGATCGAGATAAGTTTGAGCGCGACCAGCTAGGAAAGAGGCGAGAAGAAGAATAGGAAACATAATACTAGTGTTGTAGATGGTAACACAGGAGAAGGGTGGAAGCAGACGAGTAGAAACAGACGGGAAAGTTAATTCGTCAGAGATTCAGGCTTTGTTACAACGACTTTTTATCAAACCAAATATATATATTTCACATTTATAAGCATATATGTTCAATATCGGGGAACAACGACTATCATGTTTATCAACATTTATCCATGAGTTAATACATCCTATCTAGCCAATATGAACATGTATGTAACACCAGACGGTGAACATTATTATATTTCAGACATAAATATTATTGTTTGTGTAGCCTAACCGACTTAATAGCGCATCACAACACAATCAAAGAAGGCGGAGCGAAGTGGTCCCTTAGCAGTGTACCAGGTAAAAATTCCATTTCACAGTTCCCAATTTAAGAAAATCGCTTCTTTTGAATCGTAGACGTCTTAAAAAACAATATGATATATTCCGGTTCCCAGAAAGTTAAAATTGCCTAATCCCGAGTCACGAATATTACCCGCCGCCTTTTATATACGTTGGTCATCATGCCGTCGTCAGAGGTCGCTCAGAGCTGCGTATTCCACCTCTGACGTCATGGGCTTACGATCGCGCTTCGGCGTGAAGAAGTACTTGAGCACGCACGTTTGTGTGACGAGGACGACGATGATGACGCATGCCTGTGCCGACGACCACATCATCACTCTCTCGCTGAGGCTGTCCGCAAAACTGCGGTCGACGGCCTCTCGCAGCAGGTAGTCTCGCTGCACCAGCTGCACGGACTCCATGAACTGGTGAATGTTCTCGACGGTGGCTCCCATGAAGGTGAGAACCTGCGGCCGGTGGTCGCCCGCCTCCTCCGCCAGGGTCGGCGGATTCGACGAGGCCAGACTGAAACATCGCGGGACGGATGAAGCCACGGCCAAACATGACCGGATATGTGAGGTGACACCCAAATATGGCGGCATAGGTGGGGGCCACGGTTAAACATGGCGGCATAGGTGGGGCCACGGTTAAACATGGCTGGATAGGTGAGGCCACGGTTAAACCTGGCTGGATAGGCGAGGCCACGGCTAAACATGGCGGGATAGGTGGGGCCACGGTTAAACATGGCGGGATAGGCGAGGCCACGGTTAAACATGGCTGGATAGGTGAGGCCACGGTTAAACATAGCGGGATAAGTGGGGCCACGGTTAAACATGGCGGGATAGGCGAGGCCACGGTTAAACATAGCGGAATAGGCGAGGCCACGGTTAAACATAGCGGAATAGGCGAGGCCACGGTTAAACATAGCGGAATAGGCGAGGCCACGGTTAAACATGGCTGGATAGGTGAGGCCACGGTTAAACATGGCGGGATAGGTGGGGCCACGGTTAAACATGGCGGGATAAGTGGGGCCACGGTAAAACACGGCGGAATTGGTGAGAGAACACGGTTAAACATGGCGGGATAGGTGAGGCCACGGTTAAACATGGAGGGTAGGTGAGGCCACGGTTAAACATGAAGGGTAGGTGAGGCCACGGTTAAACATGAAGGGTAGGTGAGGGCATGCACGGCCAAACAAACATAGATTCAAACATAAGAGGGTATGTGCATATAGTCAAGAGTAAGATAAGAGTTAGATAATAAAATAAAGGTTATTATCTTACTGTTGATATAGTTGATGCGCCAAAACGCATACATGCACAAACGCGCGTGCACGCACGCACACACACAAAACAAACAAACAAGTAAGCAAACAAACAAACAAACACATGTATTACACACACACTCTCAATAGACACGAGCGCTTGTGCACGCGCGTACACCTACGCGAGCATGCACACACGCGCACACACTCACCTGAAAAACACCTTCTTGTCGGCCACCATCGCAAACTCGTTGCGGAAGCAGAACGAGTGAATTCCGAGGCCGGACTCGAACGTGAACTTGTCGGCGTGCACGTCGTCGCGCGAGTAGATCTTCTTGCCGTTCGGCGAGCGCACGACGATGTCAACATCGTACTTGCCGCCGTGAATCACCTTGTACTCGGCGACGTAGCTGCGCGACAGCTTGAACTCCTCGTAGAAGCACACTTCTTCGTCGGCGGGCAGGAAGAACACGAAGCTGTTCCACGCCGAATGGCCCTCGACCTTGGCGTCGGCCGGAGCGATTGTCAGTAATAGACAGAGCGACGCAGCGACTAAAGACGCGAGCATCATCGCAGCGAGTGGGGGAGGCGGCGAACCGACGGGGGTAGTAATAAGCAAGGGATCAAAACGCACGCGCTGTGGCGTAAATGCGGAAGGCAGAAACGCGGGCGTTTATTGAGTGCTACCTGACGTAAAATCTATAGCGAGAAAGCTGGGCGTAGGAGACCGGGTAGGCTGTAGGGGGTTGGGGGGGGGGTCGCCGTGCGTGGCGGTGACGCGAGCCTATGCGATCGTCGACAGCTGTGGCTATCGCCAACGCTGTCGCTGCACCATGCGCTCGCCTTGTCGCGCGCAGTCAATCCGGCGCTAGCCACAGACACCACATATTTTAATAATTAGGTAAATAGTATTTCTCCGAAACTCTTATATGGTGTGTATCGCTTGTCGGCTTTGCCGTCGGGAGGTGGCTATATCGGGACCCACGATGTCCCTGGAGCATGCATAAGAGTAGCTCAAAGAAAAGGTAATGTAACCGTATAGACGTTTGATAGCTTAAGGATAATTGTGTAGACGTTTATTCCACAGTCGTGTCGGGCTAGATCAATTGGGTTGGCGTTGTACGGGTCTGTATTGGATATCAACAGAGGTAGATAATAGATAGTAGATTCCCTATTATCTACTTCTGATATCAAGGAATAAAATGCATCCAGTTCGTATCGTGAATTAGGAGGCTTAGGTGGTCCGAGAGAGTGAACTGCAACACACCCCGTGTAACGCACAGTCGCGTCTCTGGACACACACGCACGCACGCACACACACACACACACATACACAATGCGCGCGCACACACACACACACACACACACACACACACACACACACACACACACACACACACACACACACACACACACAC